AAGCGAAGGGGCGCAGCTGCCCGAGCCGAGGAAGGCGCCACCAAATGGGCAGAGGTGGGGCTAGGCGGTAGAGAGCCCCACAGCAGCGGCGGCAGGACAGTGAAGGCCTGCGGCCGCCCAGGCCCAGATGGGGCCAGATGGTAGAGAGCCCCGCGGTAGCAGGAGGACAGCAAAGGGCCGCAGCTGCCTGGGCCGAGGAAGGTGCCACCGATGGGGCCGGACAGTGGAGAGCCCTGCGGCAGCGGCGGCAGTGGGAGGACAGCGAAGGGCCGCAGCTGCCCAGGCTGAGGTGGGTCTGGGCAGCGAAGGGCCGCAGCTGCCGGGGCCGAAGGTGCCACCAATGGGGCCGAGGTGGGGCCGGGCAGCGGAGAGCCCGGCGGCAGCGGCAGTGGGAGGACGGTGAAGGGCCACAGCTGCCTGAGTCAAAGGTGCCACCGATGGGGCCGAGGTGGGGCCAGGCAATGGAGAGCCCCACGGCAGTGGCGGCAGGACAGTGAAGGCCCGCGGTCACCCGGGCCCAGATGGGGCTGGGGGGTAGAGAGCCCTGTGGCAGCGGGAGGATGGCAAAGGGCCACGGCTGCCCGGGCCAAGGTGGGACCAGGAGGCGAAGGGGCGCAGCTGCCCAGGCCAAGGAAGGCACCACTGGTGGGGCTGGGTGGTGGAGAGCCCTGCCGCAGCGGCGGAAAGGGGAGGACAGCAAAGGGCTGCGGCTGCCTGGGCCGAAGTGGGACTGGGCGGCGAAGGGGCGCAGCTGCCCTGGCCAAGGAAGGCGCCACCAGTGGGGCTGGGTGGTGGAGAGCCCCACAGCAGCAGCGGCGGCAAGGGGAGGACGGCAAAGGGCCGCAGCTGCCCGGGCTGAGGTGGGGCCGGGCGGCGAAGGGGCGCAGCTGCCTGGGCCGAGGAAGGTGCCACCGATGGGGCCGGGCAGTGGAGAGCACTGCGGCAGTGGCAGCAAGGGGAGGACAGCAAAGGGCCGCGGCTGGCCGGGCTGAGGTGGGGCCGGGTGGCGAAGGGGTGCGGCTGCCCGGGTCGAGGAAGGCGCCACCAATGGGGCCGAGCAGTGGAGAGCCCCGTGGCAATGGTGGCAAGGGGAGGACGGCAAAGGGTCGTGGCTGCCCGGGCCAAGGTGGGGCCAGGCGGCGATGGGGCGCAGCTGCCCGAACCAAGGAAGGTGCCACTAATGGGGCCAAGGTGGGGCCGGGTGGCGGAGAGCCTGGCAGCAGTGGCGGCAGCAGGACGGTGAAGGGGCACGGCCGGCTGCGCCAAGGTGGGGCTGGGTGGTGGAGAGTCTCACGGCAGCGGCGGCAGGACAGTGAAGGCCCGCGGTCGCCCGGGCCCAGATGGGGATGGGTGGTAGAGAGCCCCGTGGCAGCAGGAGGATGGTGAAGGACGGCGGCTGCCTGGGCCAAGGTGGGGCTGGGTGGTGGAGAGCCCCACAGCAGCGGCGGCAAAGGGAGGACAGCAAAGGGGCGCAGCTGCCCGGGCTGAGGTGGGGCCAGGCGGCAAAGGGGCGTAGCTTCCTGGGCCAAGGAAGGCGCCACCGATGGGGCCGGGCAGTGGAGAGCCCCGCGGCAGCGGCGACAAGGGGAGGACGGCAAAGGGCCGCGGCTGCCCGGGTCGAGGTGGCGCCGGACGACGAAGGGGTGCGGCTTCCCGGGCCGAGGAAGGCGCCACCGATGGGGCCAAGCGGTGGAGAGCCCCGTGGCAACAGCGGCAAGGGGAGGACGGCAAAGGGCTGCAGCTGCCCGGGCCGAGGTGGGGCCAGGCGGCGATGGGGCACAGCTGCCCAGGCCAAGGAAGGCGCCACCGATGTGGCCGAGGTGGGGCTGGGCGGCGGAGAGCTCGGCAGCAGTGGCGGCAGCGGGAGGACGGTGAAGGGGTGCGGCCGCCTGGGCCAAGGTGGGGCTGGGTGGCAGAGAGTCTCACGGCAGCAGCAGCAACGGGAGGACAGCCAAGAGGCGCCACGCAGCAGGTGGGGAAAGGGCTGGGCAGTCGCCATGGGGGAATCACAAGACAGCCGAAAGGACGGAGTGGGGAAGCTACCGAGACCCCCGGTGGCCCCCCTCCAACTAACAGAGGCAGAGGCGGCAGCAGAGCAGGGCGAGGGGAGATCCACCAGGCAGAGAAGAGGCATCTCGAGACTGGCTCCTTACCCAGGTTCTGCCGCCTTTCCAGCAATCCTTCTGGCTCTTCCTCCGCTGCCACCACGTGCAGTCCAAAGAAGGAAAGAGGTTTGTGGGCAGCCCCACAAACTAAAGAAGTTCAACCAATCAATTCAAACTTCGTGAGAGGGAGCCGCAGGAGACGGCTGAAAGAGCCGCATGTGGCTCTGGAGCCGCGGGTTGCCGACCCATGCTGTAGGTTTATATGGTGCGATTAAGACATTGGGATTGTCAACCGGAAGGTTGGCACTTTGAGATCCAAATACCATTTGACGGAGTGAACTTCTGATACTTGCCCCAGCTCCTGCCCACATAGGAGGTCGAAAGCATGCAAATGTAAGTAGAGAAATAGGTACCACTTTGATGCGAAGGTATCAGCATTCCGTGTGCCTCGGCATATAGTCAGTGGTGGGATTCAGCCAGTTCGCACCAGTTCGGCAGAACCGGTAGCTAATATTTTGTTGCCCAGGCCCAGAACAGACTTCCAGAAGCAGCATCCACACAGACAACCGGTTGTTCACATATTTGAATCCCACCACTGCATATAGCAGTGGTGGCGAACCTATGGCACGGATGCCAGAGGCGGCACTCAGAGCCCTCTCTGTGGGCACGCGCGGTGTCGCCCCAGTCCTAGGCCTTCAGCTGGGTTTTATAAAACCTTTTCGCTTTAGGCCTCCGCCGCCATGTGCAAAAAAAAAAGGTTCAATCAATCAGTCAATTTCAACTTCTCGTTGGAAAAAAAAGATCTCGCAAAGTTGGAATTGATTGATTGAATTTTTAGTCCCACCCAGTCTGCTGTTACCACTGAAGCCATGCCCATCCAATGGGCCACACCCACCCAATTGGCCACACCCAGCCAATGGGCCACACCCACCCAGCACCCGACAATGTATAAGTGGGTTTTGGGTTGCAGTTTGGGCACTCGGTCTCTAAAAGGTTCACCATCACTGGCATATAGTCATGCTGGCCACATGACCACAGAAATATCTTCAGACAACACTGGCTAATAAATGGAGATGAGCACTGCCCTCTAGAGTCAGACATGACTGGACAAGTGAAACCTTTACATTTTTTATGACTTAAAAAAACATTCTGTTTTTGGCAAATACAACATATGGACTATGCCACAGTTATAAACAAAGTTTGAAGAATTGTAGACTGAGATACATCCTTGTCTCCTTTTGACAAAAGACATTCAAACCAACGCATGAAACAGTGCATTTTATTATCATTATATTTTCCACCTCTGTTTTCAAGGGAACAGGGTCAGTAAAGGTGAATCCACAGGCCAACTGTCAGAAATTCTTCCTGGTAGCAGATGGAAGCAGAGGAGACATACACTTGTTTGTCAAGAATTTATAAAACTCTGCCTGGATCATGAATAACTGCAGATATGACCAGAAGAAAAAAAAGAGAAACAAAGCTTTTAATTATAATTGTCAGCAAGAAGCAGAAAGATAAATTACACGATCTTTGAACTTGAGAAATAAAACTGATAAAGGTTTCCTGCCCAGTAAGTGGAGCTTCCGTGTAAAAATAGAAATTCAGTCATGCAACTGATCCAGATGCAGACATACACCCAGAGAGCTACATCATTTCCTTAATCTATATTTTATATTACGATGAAGCCCAAATAGTTCTCAGATTTTTTTTCTGCATGAATCCAAATAAAATAACTACGTTTAAATATGTATGGTCATCACCTGGCCAGCCTACCAATATAGTTCATATCGTCCACGCTGCCTGTTGCTGCTGATTTAATAGTCAGACTGGCAAGCTATCCTGACTAAATTTCTTGTCCCCTCACCCTAGCATTTCCTTTGATCCTGGATCTTGCATTGAGGATTCCACACATTGTGCTGAGCACTGTTTGAGCTTGCTTTTACCAAAAACAATGTTCTTTGTCCCTTGTGGGATTCCCTTCGCTCCTCACATTAATTGCATCAAAAATGTATGCAATTCATCCTCTCTCCATTCTGTCTTTTGCTCCAAGTTGCTCCTTCTCATCTGATACCTATCAGAGTTATTGTCAATGCTGCTAACATCGGATGTTTTTGCTTTGACAACAGATGGAGATGTAGCCATTGTCTTCTTTTCGCTTTTAGAGTTAGATGATGCTGAGGAGGGGGGGATGTGCATGAGAGTTCAGCTAGACATAATAATACTGAACCTAGGGTGAGAATCTAGGTTATTTAAATAAGAGATGATAAGAATTGGTGGGCTGGAGAGCTGGAGGGAAAGCCCATGCTTTAAACTAATTGGGGAATGTGATTTATGACTGTTAATTGGAGGAGGGAATTGTGCATAGTATGTGCTCAGGGGAGGGGAATTCAGTTTTTGGCTTCGATTATGCAGTGCCGATGTTATGCTACTCAAAATAAAGATTCTTTAATAAAGACAATGCCTCGAAGTTCTTTGAAGAGTTTTATCTGTCGGAACATGACATTTATACAACAGTCTGATCACATCAAACCCAAAAGCTCTCAGTGCTCTTATCTACTTTTTCTGCTTAAAATACCTGCCAAACCACCTCCATATACTCTGTCCATTTTTTTTTCTGTCATTTTTTTCCCCTTATCGCTCTGATCCCACGGTCCATTCTTCGATTTCTATCTGGGCTTCCTGTCTCCTTCTGAGTCCAATATAGACATTCCGTGGTGTTGGACTTTTATTCTCTCGACTGTTCTGTCCTGATACAGTATGTGCCTGGCCTTGGTGTTGCTGCTACAGCTCTGCTACCACATATAGTCCAAATATCAGCTTTTTCTTTACCAGGAAAATGTGGTACTTATTGGACTTCGCTATATTCCCTAACCGGGCTAAGTTCTTTAAAATGAATCAATTATCTTGAAATCTTCCCACCTTAAAACTACACATATTGAAAAGATGTGCAGCCTTTTCAAAGAACATCTCAATAAAAACTACTTCTAAAACTAAGATAGGAGAAGTAGGCAAACCAATGACAATTCAAACTCAGACAAAGCAACTCTGCTTTGAATATTTTAAATCTTCCTGTATACAGCTATATTTTTTAAAGACTTCAATAAAATAAAATGAATAAAATTTTGAATCTACCTTCAAAATTTGCCAAAACGACAAGATTGCCATTTTTAAGAAAATTCCTCCGATACAATTCACTATATGGCAAGATGTAACGCCAACCCAACTTTGGACCTACGTGGGTGTTATACAAAGGATCAAAAATTCCAGTAATATCAGCCTTATCCCAAAGAAGTTTGCCATCTGTCAAGCAAAATAAACAAACATAAATAAACTGAAATGGATCAATAGTTTAAATATACAACCTCCAATAGTTTTAGTAGGTTATATAAGATTCAAATAACCAGGCACAACATTCCATCCAACATTTTTTAATAGACATGCTTAAATTCTATTTGGAATTTAAGATAATTTTGCTTCAGTGGTGGTGGGAGGGGAGTGTTGTCCTCCCTACATTGTTTTATAAAGTCTGTGTTAGTAAGCTTTCTCTTTCTCCAGGGTAATTTTTGAAAAAAGTGATCTTGGTCTAGTTACCATAACATTCATTATAGGTTCTGCTGGTGATTAACTATAAAGTCTTACATGGCTTGGGAACAGGGTAGCTGAGGAATTACCTTTTTACAAGAGTTTCTACCTGTCCAATTAGATCAAATAGAATGGGCATGCTGCAGATCCTATCAGCCAAAGAATATCAGTTGATAGGGGCTAGAAAAAGAGCTTTTTCTGCAGCAGCCCCTGCTCTATGTAACATCCTCCCTTCAGAGATTAGAATGGCCCCAATCCAGTTAACCTTCTTTAAAGCTTTAATAGACCTGGCTATGCTCCCTATACAGACATCTAATTTGAGTATATACACTACATATATACACTAATTTGAGCCTGGAACACTACATGCCACAAAGGCTCCGCCTCTTGGCTTTATTTTTAAGAGACCAGATGCCTTGCTTTGTATATACTCAAATTAGATGTTTTAATGTTTTTTAGTGTTTAAATGTTTTCATTGTTTTTATTGTTTTAAAATGTTTTTAAGATTTTAATTGTAATATGTGTATTTGAATTGCAAACCACCCAAATTCTTTTGCTGAGATGGATGGCTATAGAAATCAAACAAACAAACAAATAAGCAAGCAAGCTTTATATGTTATACAAAGTGGCTCAGACAGGGCATCTTGTTTATGATTGTGTCTGCATTATATTTTGCCAGGGAATACAGATATGTCAAGATGCTAATTTATTTTCAGAGACGTTTAAAATGCTACTAATAAACTTTGAGTCAATTATTGCCATGGTCTGAAAGCACCTGCTTTTCCAAAAGGGGGAGATGGGGGAATTAATAAAGTAGCCTGTAATACTATTAGTAGATACATTTCCAGGTGCCTAACATTTTGTTTTATTTTCAGGTGCCAACTAAAAATACTTTTATGCCTGATTTTTTTACATCTTATTGTCGCTTAAATATGTCATAGGTTCTAGGGATTGTCTCAAATTTACCACCAATCCAAGAATTTGTAGCATTTCCTTAGATTGGATTTCACTCAGTAAATTAGAAATGGAGGAAGAGGTATAGAATACAATAGTTGAGTTCTATTCTGCACAAAATTAGAGCTGCTTCCTCCTGCTAACCTAGCGTTCCAAAACTGAAAGTTCTGTCCTACTGATGCTACAATATCTCCAATAATTCTGATTTTTAATCTATACTATTTGATTTTAATCTATCTAGTTATGACTAAATAAGAGAGAAAACAGTCAATTCTGCACAACCCAAACACCCCTTAGACTTACTGAAACGCTGGTTGGGATCTGTAACAAAGCTTCGGCTTGCTGACATCCTTTGGGTGACGTCAGGATCTTGATCCACTATGGTGAATGTCACTTGCCTGTTCCCAGCTGGCCACTCTAATGCTCCATCATCCTTGCCACTACATAAAGAAAACATGATTCCTAGGTAATCTCCATTTGAGTTGGCTGGAGCACGGGGATAAAGACTGAGCACAAAGCAATAGCCCTCAGAGTTATAAAAGATGGGGCTTGGCAGATAATCTCCTTTTGAGGAACTTTTTAAAATGGAAGTGAAGTTTCTTATCTGCCAAACGCTGGTAGGACATTGTGTTTCAGTCAGAGTTACATCATCAATGTGAATTCCTCCCTTGGAATGTTGTGGGTCTCCTTTAAGGCCATGAAAAACATAGCGGAATTTGGTCTGGCTGTTGAAAGGAATGTTTGCAAAGTTCCACTGCTTCTCTCCATCACCTGAAAGGGGAGAGGGGAAAATCTAATATTTGATTCATTTACATATTCAACCCATTTCATGCTACTTTCCCTGCGATGATCTCAAAGTGATATGTAGCAGAAGTAAAGTGAGGAAGATATGAGGACAAAATTACTATAACTTAAAAGAGCTAATGAAGCAATTGTGCATTTAAAAAAGCTGGAAAGCCCTCCGCCATAGGATTGCATTACACGGATACCATGAATAATGTTTGAGGCCCTTTACTTGACCTCAGAGAAGCAACAATTTTGTCAAGGTGTGTTCCAAATTTTGCTTAGTAGTAAAGATAAAAGTTGAATCTTTGAAGTAAATCTTCAAAGGTCACTTGAGAACTTACCATGGATGCTTTTCAGTTTTATTGACTTCCTAATATTTCCAGTACCATCATCAGTTTTAAGCCATATAATCAGCTCATCTTTTGGACTGCCATCAAATTTGTAAAAAAATTGTAGGCACTTCTCATTTCTTCTTGGATAAAGAATACGGGACTCCAAAATGGCTGCTTCACCTGAAAGGCCTTTTGTGGTATCGAAGCTCATAACGTACTCTTTCTCTGTAAAGTAGATGAAGATGATTTAATGTCCTGTGGACCATGATTCATTTTGGGACAACTGTGCAGGATTTCACTGGGTTTAAACTGAGGCACTCGTGAAATTCTGTTACTGTAATCTTATAATAAAAGTAATATTAGCATTCATAACTTTGGCTTTCTAGCCCTGTCTACTTCAAAGGGCTGGCATCAGTTTTGCAGATCTGAATATGCTTCCCTCTCCTTCCCTCTTTCTGAAAACTGAGAAGGGTCAATTCTGAAATACTTTCTCAAATTGCATTTGTGCCACAGATCAGATTTCTTTTGTTTGACCATTGCCTTGGTTGTGGCTCTTCCTCCTGATCCTCAAGGTTACTCCTTCTGCCCACAACATACAATTTTTTTTGATGTCCATATATTTGCAGGAGGAACATAATAAGAAAAAAATATATCTTTCATCATAAGTAGATTTCCATTACTGATTACTTTGTCACATATTAACACTTTGGATACAATTAACATTTTAAATTTTCTCTTTTTTCATATGCTATATCCTCCCTATTGGATTTCATTATCAAATTATTTCCAGTTGTACAGCCACTCTCATCCATTTAAATTACACGCTAGTATGTTACCTAAGCAGTGGTTGTTGTTATCCCGACTTGTAGTCAAGGTATGTTCCCAGTCCTTGTTGTCTCTTCCGTTTTGTACCATACCACAGATACTGATGGACTCAAATGAACATTGGTCAAGGAGGGTAAGACTGGAAGCTGCAGGAAATATCCCCACATTTCAGGTTAAAGTAATCTAAATGCAAATAAGAGAGGCCTCTGTTCTGCCTAACAAATTTCTTCCCAAATTAGTGTTGAGCTCCTTTAGAGAACTAAAACATCATGAAAACTATCTTGTTAGGATAGCTTAATTTAGAACCATTCTCAGCTCCATATGAGCGAGTATTAGTATAGCATTATATGCTATAAGTGTTCTGAACCAATAGTTTTATAGGATGTAGTGAAGTAGCTGAGAGGCCATAAATGATCAGAGGATGCTGGAGCACTAAGTGGGGACTAATAGTCATTTGATCCTTTCTGCTTCAGGGTCACAAGCAATCTTAAGCCACAGGTTGGGTGTTCCCCAATTATGTAAGATTGCTGGTTGTTCAATGAAACAGTGTGTATATTAGTTCCTTGGGTAATTTAACTTCCTCCGGTCCTTTTCAAAGATGATTGATTGATTAGGATAATTTATGCTTAGAAGCGTCTGAAAGATTCCTTGGGAAAAGACATGTTGTATGATATTGTATGATCTTGGGAAAAGACATACAAGGCTTAAAAATTGCAATGGGTGCAATGGGTCTGCATTCTGATGAACCCCAAAACACCTTTGTGCTTTCAATCCTGTAGTTTTCATAGATCTATTCCTAATCTAATATAAAGTAATAGATTTAGTTGTTAATTGTTCTTTGATGTTAATGAATATTTAAGATGTAAGATTTTACCATTACTATAGCATAAAAAAGTTGAGTAAAATAGAATAAACTTACCACAATGGTACATGCGGTTAAGCCTTTCTACATCTATCTTGCTCATATCCTTGCTTTGCCCAATGATGTTGTTGAATTCTGGAATTTTTGTTGTAATTGTAGGGACAGAACTGTTCTTATTGAATGAATAAGCTCCATAATGCATGACAGATTCATAATCATATGGAGTGTTTAAATCAGAAATGAAACTGTCATTATATTTGTCAAAGTTATATGCCTGACCTAGGAAAGAAAATACCAAAGCTATCAGGCAAGTTTGACAATTAATAGTTTAATATTTTTATTAAACAATTAAGGAGGCAATCATTTATAATAGATCTAACTTGTACAACTTCATCCCTAATACATTATTTATCAGTTGGTTTCATCACATCCCTTATATTTTATTTAATATTTATAAGAATCCATTGGAAATTGCTTTGCAATTTTAGGTGAATTAATTTGTTGTTGTTGCATTTTAAGTTCCAAAGAGCAAACAGAATTCAGTAATGGGTTGGCTTTTTGTTTAATACCTGAAAGCTAAGGCAGTTAGATATGTTGAGTTTACCAATGAGACATTTGATCCAAAGAATAGTAGACTATTATGCTGTGCATGGTTTTATATAGCCTCTTAGAAAATGAGATTTAAAGTTTGGGAATAGTCCTCAACCTACAGTACATTTATTCTTGAATAATTAAGTGATAAATAACATCACATACAGATTTGTAGATTGGTCTATACTTAATGCACAATGTTGTTGCATTGTATTGAATCTACCTTTTGTGCCTCTTTAGCCTTGTGGCCCTGTGGCTTTCTGTTCTCTCTATTAATTGGAACAGATATTGATAGATCTATCTTTGAGATTTAGGAATTGTCTTTTAGATAAGAAAAACACAGAATTGTTCATCCTCTCTTGAAGCAAGTAAGAGGCCCAAAATACACAGGTCAGTCTGTTTTTTTCCTTGCCTGAGACATGTGGCATTACTGCCTTATGATAGGATTAATATCCTTTTTTAATAATTATAAGATAAGTAATACTTTCTAAAATCAAATTGAACGAGATGATTTCTAGCTGAAATTATCTGAAGTAGTAAGAATCCAAAGTGGGCATGAAAGATTTGAAAGGCGCCAAATCTTCCTAGTATCTTTTCTGTCCCTTCCACTTACCATCAATGATTTCATTCCACCAAATCTTAACATAGTCGTCTCGATCAGTGCGTGACTGTTCATGAAAAAATCCAAGGGCATGCAGGACCTCATGCTCCACAATATCTTTATATTCACAGCCTGATCCAATAGAAACGACCTGGCCAGCCTGAAGATCTCCCACATAAGACCAGCATCTGTTTTACCATGGTATGTTCATTCATCAAAACAGTTGATTTAATACGACAACTAATATAAACACAAAGCCATTTAGCCTACAAGAGCCAAATGATAGCAGAGTGAGAGGTCCCCCATCCGCCACATAGGATACCATCTTACTTTTCTAAGTTATCCATTAAAAAAAACATATTGATGCTGCTTTATATCAACCAAATGCAAACCCTTGATGATACCTATTCTTATAGTTCTTAATAGGCAGAAGATCATAGGGCTATTCAAGCCTTAATAAACAGGACTTATATCGAACATTCATGTTTTGCAGGAAAGTGTCTATATTCAAAGGCTTCTTTGCTTAGACATTAGCCTCACATAGATGGCAAGGAAGGATGATGTCACCTGAACAGAATTAGTCAACAGGAGTCTCTAACTTGGTTCCCTTCTCATTTAGGTATTAAGATATACAGGTTTACTAACATATACATTCATGTTTATTAATAATCCATGTGATCCAATGGGAGGATGGGAAAGGACTATTTATTGCATGTCCCTAAATCAAGATCTTGCAGAAGAGCTCAGTGTTGTTTATAAAAAAAACAGTGTAGCTTATTTGCAGATGGAGGTATAATATTTATTGGGGGACGAGGGGTGCGATGAATTATTTATGCTAAGCAACCCAGGGAGGAAACCTTGTAAAATGCTAGCATGTCAGGAATTCTAGAAATCTCCTTCATGATAATTAGGATTTACCTACATGTTTTCCTAATAAAGCAGTGTGCAGCCCCAAACTTGAGATTCTGTGCGCAGTAAGCTATCTGTGATCTCAACTGGAACTGCAATATGCAACCTGGGGAAGATAAAGAGCAAATCTACTATTCCTTCTGGCAACAAGCAGGAAATAAGTTTCCCTGGATGCACTGATATCCCAATAGGCTACACTGCAGACTAAATGGCACCTCAAGGGAAACATGCCAGATGATGCAAATAAATAGGTGGAGACTATCCAGATGACAAGAAGGGCATGCAAAAGGGCTTCCTCTTCTTGTTGGTAATAAACCATTTCAGTGAAATCAAGGACACACAACCTGATCCAGCCTTGAAATATGGTAGTCAAAGAATGTCAAGAGGAAAAGGCCTAGCTTGTGTTTTATACTAGGTTTCAATAAAGAACGAGGGAAGGAATACAGTATCATTTTGTGTACTTTAACTGTGGGCAATAATTATTTAAATGCAACAGCTTTCTGTCATGACGTTAGCTTGTTTGTTTGAATAAATTTACCCAGCCAGCTTTTCAAATTGGAGGTAGGACTTCTCTCCTTCATAGGGTTTAAAGTCAATGCAAGATTTGAGTCGAAACATCTCAAATGCTTGCAATATGACGCCCTTGGTATTCAGGTCTGAAAGAAAAGAATGCCTATTTTATATTCCTATCCAGGCAAATGAGATCAATGCTATTTAGAAATATTAGATAATTGTGTTTCATTGCTAGAAACCTCTTTCTCACTCAGTGCTCCTTCCTCTCTTCAGGGCTAGACTAGAAACATCCTGGAAGAAAGCAAACCACTTCCGTATTGCTGCCAAGAAGGTTACATGGAAATAGCTAATGGGTCAGACTCAAGGAGATTTTGTCTTTATCTACTAAAAAGCCTGACATCTGGAAGAGCTGGCTGGAAACATTGAAATTGAAGCCCAAGAGGAAGTGAGGACTCAGTTAAGGAAGGGAGCTCTGAAGGAACATTTTTAGGGAGTTGCAGGGGGAAGAGGGCAGATGATCCACTAAATTTGCCCTCTATTGGAGTTTACTGCTTAATCCATTGTATCCATCAAACTAATAATTAATCTAGTGTTCTAGAACAGAAAATGTCTTGTTACCTATACTGGCGCCCATTTTATATGGAATTGGAAGTTTCCATCTATAGGAGTCATTCCTCAGTGCATTTCTGTCAAGCTGTTAAGAAAATTAAACTATATTTTTTTAAAAGTTTATTTTCTAATCTCTTTATAAAAAGTAGATCAACCTTACATACCAGCATGATAATGTCGCCTTCAAAGAACTTCTTTCCTGTTGCTAAATGTGGAATGAACAACAGTTAAGGACAAAGCATTATTTAAGAAATTTTTACAGGTTATTGTTCTCTAAATCTTAGACACATAGATAAACACCCAGCATTTGATAGAATTTTTTCCTGTTTACTATTTAACATGTCCATGTTTAGGAATCAGTCTGGATTTTTGCTGCAATTCCTACAGATATTTAGCTTGAACATTTTTTTTACTGGACACAACAGAGTGAATCGACATATATTGGATGTCATTAGTCATACACTGATGTAGGGTCATTTATTGTAAACAGTCTTTCAGAGCATACTGTAATGTAATGGGTATGAAGGAAAATAATTGTGATAATGAGGGAGATATGATCAGTGGAGAAGAGAGAGAAGAAATTAAGGATGCAAGTCAAGTGTATTTGTTTTTCCAAAATTGTCCTCAGAGAACAAATCAGCTCTTCGTCTATGTGACATCCCTTCATAAACATGAAGAATGCAGTCATAGCTCCTTTAAACTTTTCTTCTCCAGACTAAACATTTCCAATTTCCTCATTCTCTTACGCTGCTTCTAATTTTTTGTGGGTTTTTGGCAGTGACAGAACTCATTTGGATTCAATATTGTAGTACTCAAAACTTCACATCAGACCAGACAGTCCTTCCAGATCTCACCACCAATGGATGAAACTAACATGCTATCTTGATTTGTTCTGTTTTGATGTTCTACAGGCCTACTCTTTTCTATTAATATCAGTGGATCCCAAGAATGTGTTTGGGGTTTTTTCGATTTATATAATACACATACGTACAATATTTACTTACCTGCATTGATTTCAGGGATGCCTTTCCTAGGTTTTCCTTCATCCAAGGAGTACCCTTTTAAATGAATAAATAGTGTATTAGTATCAAATATATACTTCTTTACAGATCATTATTTCAGACTGTATGCTTTCCACCTTAGAAAAAGATATTCTTTTATTTTATTTCATTTATTTCATTTTGAGTTTGTTTTGATTTACCTTCATGTTCTGCTGTCCTCTTGATCTGCAATGGCAATTGGACATTTTTAGAAAATCAAGGAAAATAAAATAGTATTATATCAAGTCAGGAAGCATCTAGGGAAGTACCATACCGTAAAAGTGGAAGAGACAGTCAGCAGTGTTGCCAGGCACAGGAGCTGAGGTAAAGACATTTTGAAGTGGCTGTGAATGATTGAGGGCATGGCATAAATAGTCTGTAAATTTCCGGTCTTTTTATGCAGTGTCAGAGAAAATTAAGAATTAAGCAACTATAGGTTAACATTTAATTCATCTTATTATTTCCTAATTATACTCTTGAGAAGGAAATCAACTTAAACAATTATTTTATTTATATATTCCCTGTCAACTTCTTGAATCAACAAAATGTAATTTGTCCATAGCTGAGAGAAACAATGTAAAAGACAGAACAATGTAACAAAGAGCCCTAAACCTGTCAGTCAGATAATTACTGTAACAGCCAGCCTGAAACTCAGGAAGGGCATTCCTCTGAAAGAATAGTGAACCAGACAAATCCTTTAAGATTTAGAGCTTTAGGAGCACAGAGGAAGGATGCCTACATGTACATACATATCTTAAAGATAACCTGAAAGATTTCGATAAGGCCATCTCCCTCCCAGAGTTGTACATTTGTAGGAAATAAATACTTCAAAACACATTTATACAAAGATTCACTTTCTCTATAAATACCTCTAATTGGGAATACTGAAACTGACAGAAGAGATGTTTGTAGCTCAGAGTTGAACTGTGGGGACCCTGGTGTTCTCTGAACTTGGTGCTTTTTCTTGCAGACCTTTCATTATCAAGTTAGGGGACATAATCAGTTATAGGAGGGAGTTGGCTTTGCCGTCTTTTTATATATACTACTGACTTGCTCTGTTAGTGCGGGAAATGTTCTTGGTGGTTCCTTAATTAGGCTCTTCTTTACTGTTAGATTGTTTGTCTGAGTTGGTAGTTCCTTGCTTAGGACATTGTTCACTTAACAGAATAACAGAGCTGGAAGGGACCTCAGAAGTCTTCTAGTCCAACCCCATGTTCAAGCAGGAGACTCTATACCAGGGGTGTCAAACTCAATTTAATTGAGGGCCGCATCAGCATTGCGGTTGTCCTCAGGGGGGTGAGTAGGTGTGGCCAGGGTGGGCATGGCTGGAGTGGGTGTGGCCTACTGGGTGGGCATGGCCAGCTCTACATCATTTGCGTCAAGGGTGCCTGTGGGGGCCTGGGCAGGAGTGGGACAGATCTGAGAGTCTCTGGCAGAAGGGGGTGGGACCAGGGCAAACGCCAAGGCATAGCCCACTGGAAGAGCTTGCTGAAACCCCTCCCCCGGAGCCCATCAAGCCGGATATGTGAAGTAGGTGAAGGCCATTTGCTGGCCACTTCCAGGTGATGGTGCATTTCTTCATTCCTCACAAAGGGTGACACCTCCCCAGCATGCACCCAGGGGGCAGGGCCGACACGGCAGGGGCTGGTTCCTCACTGTTTCCAGACGGTCTTGTGAAACTAAGACTGAATGCGTTTCAGCATAGATGGCCACCACAAAATTGTACATTGGCGCCCGGCTGGCCTGGGCCAGGGCCAAGGCAGCGGGGGCCGTTCCCTCACTGTTTCCAGGATGGCTTCGCGGGCCACATGAAACCACTTCGCGGGCCGCATCCAGGCCCCGGGCCTTGTGTTTGACATGTCTGCTCTATACCATTTCAGACAAATGGCAGTCCAGTCTCCTTTTAAAAATATCCAGTGATGGAGCATCCACAACTTCTGAAGGCAAGCCATTCCACTAATTAATTATTCTCACTGTCAAGAAATTTCTCTTTAGTTCTAAGTTGCTTCTCTCCTTGGTTAGTTCCCAACCATTGCTTTGGATGCTTTGCAAAACAGGTTGACCCCCTCTTCTTTGTGGCACCCCTCAAATATTGGAACACTGCTATCATGTCGCCCCAGTCCTTCTTTTTAGTAGAATAGACACACTCAATTCCTGCAACCATTTTTCATATGTTTTAGCCTCTAGTCCCCTAGTCATTTTTGTTGCTCTTCTCTGCACTCTTTCCAGAGTCTCAACGTCTTTTTTTACATTGTGGTGACCAAAACTGGATGCAGTATTCCAAGTGTGGTCTTAGCAAGACCTTATAATGTAGTACTAACGTTTCATGTGATCTTGATTCTATCACTTTGTTAATGCAGCCTAGGATTGCATTGGCTCTTTTGGTGGCTGCAGCACACTGCTGACTCACAATTAAGTAATTATCCACTAGGACTCCAAGATCTCTCTTGTAGTTACTGGTATTGAGCCAAGTTTCACCTAATTTGTACTTGTACATTTGGTTTTTCTTGCCTAGGTGTAAAATCTTACTTTTCTCTACAATTTTATTAGATAGGGCCCAATGTTCAAGTCCGTGGAGATCCTTCTGGATCTTGAGTCTATCTTCTGGGGTGTTGGCTATTCCTGCCAGTTTGGTGTTATCTGTAAATTTGATGCATTCCCCTTCTATTGCCTCATCTAAATCATTTATTGGTAGTCTAGAAAAAGGTTTCATTTTGGTAATGAAATATATAAGAAGCTGTTTATAAATTCCATGAATAAAACATTCATGTATATGGAACCATGGAAGTATTTCTGGAAACTCCTAGAGAGATGAAGGGCCAAATGAATGGAAAAGGCAAATATCCCTATCTTTCAAAAGAGGAGGAAATAAGAACTAAGGAACTGTAAGCCACTCAATCTAACAACTATATTTGTGACAATTCCAGAACAGATCATAAAGGCATCCATCTGTAAGCATCTTGAAAATAATGTAATAATTATCAGAAGTGAACATATCTTTCCAGATTAACTGTACCCATATTTTGACCAGATAACTTAGTAGATTGAAGGAATGCTGTAATCATAATATACTGTATTTGATTTGACAAAGTATCTGGTGACTCAGGTGGTGAGCAGCCGCTCTTCTCATCCTCAGTCCCGGGGAGCCTCTGCGGACAGGTCCCGGGCCGCCCCGGCTGCAGGAGAGCAGCTGAAGCTGCGTTTCGCGAGTTACCTCCAGGAAAGGTCGCTGCTCCGCACTTACAACTGCCGCTTCAGACTTACGGTGCGCCCGGGTGGGGTTTTGTGGTGAGGGGGAGGTTGTGAGTTTGAGTTCTGCCTTGGGCTGGGGAGGACTGGGGGGATCTGGGCCAGCCTCTCCCTCCCTCTCTTTGTCTGGCCAGCCCACCTCACAGAGTTGTTGTTGGGGGAGAAGGGGAGAAGGAAGGGTTTGGGGTGTTGGGCACCTTGAGTTGCTAGCAAGTACTAAGGGTGGAAAAAATGGTAAACGAGACTGGACAGCCATTGGTCTGACATGGGAGAGGGTCTCCTGCTTGGTCAAGGGGTTGGACTAGATGACCTCCCAGGCGCCTTCCAGTTATTCTACAATTCTACATTCTTGATTAGAAAATAAGCTAAATATGAGCGGGATGGAATGATCATTAAACTATCCTGAAAGCTAGGCTTATCAATGGTTCCTCACCAAATTGGAGGGGAATTTTGAATTTAATCTTCTTCTTATACTCCCAAATGTGCTTTTCAAAAGGTAACTGGACTTTCTTGGTTTTTTTCCTTGAAAATGTTTCACTTCTGATCCAAGAAGCTGCTTCAGTTCAGTACTCTAAAGACATATTTTTTTCTTAATGAGAAGAGAATCGCTTTCAAGAGGGGAAAAACTAGAAAGTCCAGTTGCCTTTTAAAAGCATCTTTGGGACAACCATGACTTGGATGATTGAGAATCTCCATAGACTTGTATTTTTCAACATTTTTATTAATGATAGATGAGAAAGTTTATCAGTTTTGCTGATGACACGAAACAGATGGGATACTATTTCCCGTATCCCAGAAGACAGAAATAAGATTCAAAACAATCTTGACAGGTTAGACAATCATAATAAATTTAACAGTGATTAAAGCAAATGTACTGTATACAAGCAGAAAATAGAATTCAAATGATTATAAAATGATATGGATATAGAATGGAACTTACCTAGCTTGGCAAGTATGTGTAAAAATTATTGGGACAGTAATTAATTAAAATTGAATATGAGTCAGCCATGTGATATGGTTTTTTTATCAACAGAGCAGCATTCCTCAAACTTGCCAACCTTAGGATGTGTGAACTTCAATTCCCAGAATTCCCAATTAGGATTCTGGGAAATGAAGTCCACACATCTTAAAGTTGACAAGTTTTTTAAAAAAAAAAAAAAAAAACCATTGCAACAGCTTGATTATGTTACTATGCCAAACCACAACAGCTTTCCTGGTAGCACAGGAGAAATCTTCTTTTATAGAATATGGAATAACAAAGATGGAAGAGACCTTGGAGACCTAGTCCAACCCCCTGCTCAAGCAGGAGACCCTATAAAATTCTGGACAAATCTCTTTTATCCAATCTTTTCTTCATAACCTCCAGTGATAGAGTGCCCACAAATTCTAGAGACAAGCCGTTCCACTGGTTAATTGTTCTCACTGCCAAGTAACTTCCCCTTAATTCTAGGTTGGATCTTCTTGTCTTGCCCTCAGATGCTTTGGAGAATAAGTCAATCCCTTATTCTGTGATAGCCTCTCAAATATTGGAAGGCTGCTATCATGTCACCTCTAGTGTTTCTCTTCATTAGATTAGAAATACTGAATTCCCGCAACTGTTCATCGTATGGTTTAACTTCCAGTCCCGTAATCATCTTTGTTGCTGTTCTCTTCACTCTTTCTAGAGTCTTGACATCTTTTTTGTATAGTGGTGATCAAAACTGGATGCAGCATTCCAAGTTATGTAGCAATTCATTCTATAACAGGACATGGAGGAACCCTCAGTCACCTTCTGTACTGTGCAGTTTACCTTTGATCTGGTCCAATCACATTCTGAAGAGGAAAACTAAAGCTGGATGCTCGTGGTTAGCATGTCATAGCTTTGGGTGAGAGCAAAATACACAGAGTTACTATCCACAGAAATCATGCTGGATTTCTTTTATGACTCTATGTGTAAGCAATCTAGCCGATATATATCCCCTCTACCTGATCTGAAATAACACGCCAATCAAACTAAATTTTAGAAGAATCGTGTTAAAATATAGGATCAGGAGAAATAATGAAGATTTGGTTGAGTTTTCTAAAGCAAGAAGGGAGAAACGTACAGCCATCCAATATTCACGATAAAGCTGATGTTCACTCTAGGCAATTTACCTTAAGAACAAAAATCATTGTCTGTTTCATTTAGTAATGAAAAGAAAAAGCAATTAAACCAATAGTCAGTGAATGCCAGAAGACTGTTATGAAGTGGCAATTCTTACTTGATTGTTAACCCACAAGTGGGCAAATATTTCTAGGTTTTGGATGAGCTGTTGGAATAGAATTAGAAAGGTCTGTGCTCTAATCCAGCTGAAATCCACTGGGTAACTTTGGCTCAGCCCTTCCTTAATTTAGTGCATTTCACAAGGTTGAGGGGAAAATGGGAGAAATGGGTGTGATGGATGCCATTCTGAGTTGGGCAATATAAATTGAATACATACATATACATATACAAGTGGGGGTATGCAATTGAGAAAATACAAGGTAATATGTAATGCAATCATTTATTTCCATAGTGAAAAAAGCAAGGCTGTGTGAAACCTGTTACCATCATACATAATACCCCCCTCCAAAAAAGGCAGGCAAAGGGGCAAAGTTCCAACAACAAGCAGTCCTTTATGGTTAACCATAAGATGCTTGGATTTCTTAGCTGGTGAGGTTGTCATTGGTCTAGTGGTTAAGGCACCAGGCTAGGCTGTTACCTGGTCTTATGCCCAGTGAGGTGTGGGAATACTCAACAGGCCCATCCAGGACATTCAAGCAGGACAGGCTGATTTTTGATGTCATTTCTCATATAAACTGGTGCCCTCCCCCTCCAGCCACACCTTTCATGCATTTATGTCAAACATAGAAAGCTGTCAATCCAGCCTCTAATGTGTACCTTAGAACTTCTCTGCCTTCCCATGAATACTCTACTGCACCAAAAATAACTGACAGCACTCAAGACCAGAATCTTCAGTTATATATTCTGCCTGCTCCTAATTTCTGTCCTTGATATACCAATTCCCCTTCCTTTTTTTATATGCATGGAAATGTCTACAGAAGCCACTGGGCCTTCATGTGTCAGAAAAGCCCTGCTGATGTATAAACTTGTTCAATTTCTATCTATTCTGCAGCAGTCAATGAGAACCTTTATGATTAAAGCATCCATCAAACTTTTTTTCCCATTTTTTTCTCTGTGGAGACATACCCATCTCTCATGATCACAGAAGTCATTAATTTTGTTGTGTTGATGCTCCTTTTGTCAAGCATATTTCTTTTTTTTCTTTTTTTTATATAACAAGTTTTATTAATTTTCCATTTTTACAAACCTTCAGGTATTTAAGGAAGCAACATGGTGGTTGAATAATACATAATCCAATAACACGCTTATCCATACATATATCAGTTTACATCATCAAAATTTTCCTCTGTTTCTCTTAATCATTATAACAAATTCAAATTGATAGGTTGCTAGTTATAACTCAATCATTTAAAACAATTATAAACAGCTTTTAGATTATATATCTCCAAATCCTGTTTTTAACTTTTGTCTGGTTTCAATTAGAGTATTTGAGTTGGCTTACTGTCCAATAATGTTTAGATTTCGGATGGCCCACGGTTCCCTTAATTCATACAAAATAGTATCATCTCTAAGATACACATTGTTTATTCCAATAAATTCTTAATTTATTTCACCATCATATTCTAATTCTCATTTTAATATAATTGCTTACTCATAAAATAACCTTTATTCTCTGAATCCATCTTCTATTTATAATTCAAAACAATTATTTAAATAACTAATTTATTTCCCTTATAGGTATAAATCTAACTATTAAATCCAATAATATCTTTTAAAGTCTCCTTAGCTCATTAGATAAAGTTTAAAGCTCTTCCATTAGATATCAAACAAAGAAAACCATTTTTTTACAATCTAACTCTGGCCTTCCTTTTATGCCAAGCCGGCTTCCATAAAAAAGCTTTTTGGGCCTCAAATGGCTCTCCCTTCCTTCCTGGATATATCATTTGAAACAGGTGAGACCATCCAATCATCAGCCTATCAAGGAAGCCAGTCCCTTCACAGTCGTTAAATTGTTGACCCAATGGTTTAAATCTCCATATCTGAGTTAATGTGTTTATCATGCATTCAGATTGGTCTTCTTCTAGTTGCAACTGAAGTAGATGAATAGTCATGTTCGATGTTGTAGTTGTTTTTGGATCATCTAGATTATCTGAAATCTCAGTGTATTGTCGTAAATCCTCTGGAAGTTCCATCTTAGCATTACTTTGATCAGTTTCTGTTGCTGTTGTAGTTGTCAAGTCTTTAAGTAAGATCAAGCTTTGAGTATTAAAGGTCTGAGTAGATTGTTCCTGACATTCTTCCACTTTGTTATTAGTTCCTTCTTCTACTGCTTTTTGAAGTGTGGGTTCCTCTAATGGGGTTAAAGCTGTCTTTTGTGGCTTTAAAGTGGCATGTAAGTCTTTCATTGTAGACTTCATTAGTTCAGTAGCCTCTAGAATTTTTTCAAGTATAAGTTTGACATTAAGCTGTGGGTGGTATTCCTCCATTTCTGTAATGTTAACAGTCTTTTAGTGGAGGCTATTTTTAATAAGAGTCAATAACTGTCCACCTCCACTATAAAGAACTATTTTCACCACCCAGCTGTTTCAAGTTCTTATCTTTTGGTTGCTGTCAAGGACAAATTTTAGTCTCAGAGATCTCCCCATCAGAAAAAAAATTATTCCACTTGTTGTAGCAACTTTTCACCACTAGATGTCCCCAATATCATACAAAATAGGGCTTTTTTCTGGTTCAAGAGGAAACAAAGAACATTCCATTTTCCCCCTGGGTTAATAAAAAAGTAAAACAGTAAGTTTTTGTCCAGATACAAAGCTTTTAGGGAGCCCAGGTATCCGGATATTACAAGTCCAGGTTAGTAGTCATTTAATCTTGTTCCTTTTTTTAATGTGTGTGTTTCTTGGTTTTATATTCCCGAAATGAGCAAGAGCTGCAAAATTCAGCTGGGGGAAAGGGGTATTTCAAAAATTTTTACAGGAAGGTAGTTGGGAGGGAAAAAAGAAAAAATAGGGTCTCACCCAACTCCTCCAGTTGCTTCTTCATGCTTAGTTGGTGCTTTGGGCTTTCAGCTGGTTCGACTAAGTGAAGGGCCATGTTAATGGCCGCTCTTTTCCTTTTCGGTCCTGGGGAGTTACTGCAGATCAAACGGAGAGGCTGCCGCCCCCTCCGCGATCCAGCAAGAGTCCCCCCCAACGGTGGTCGCCCCTCCAGGGCGACTTTTGACCCTTTCCAGGGTCTTCCGAAGGAGAAAAACCGGACGGCGGGGAGAGGAATCTGTCCGCATGTCCACCAGTGTCGAAAACCGGAACCGGAAGCCATCAAACATATTTTTGAAGAGAACTGCAAAACAGCCTTGAACCACCTTTATATATAGGTCTTTTTCAGTACAAGCTAATAATTTGACCTGGGAACATCTGGAATTAAAATAGTACTATGCTGGTGAAGAAGTGATTAATTCTGTCCTTCACATAGTATGTTATATAGAGGTGAACCTTGAAAGGTGATAAAGAAAAATAGTGCATAAAAGGACTCCAGTTTTGATTTTTATATCTGAGAATTGCATTTATAGGAATGTAGTTACAGATTTTTTCAGTTTAAGGCCAGATGTTATTTTTTCCTCTTTGGGAAAATCTGCATAGTTTGTGTACCTGTTTTTCTAATAGTGTTGAACTTAAAAAGAATGTTCATTATGATGTTTTATTAAAAGGATAAAAAGTTAGTTAGCAAAACATAAATAAAAAATAAAATAAACATACTAAATAATTGGACAGTTATTTTTATCATCAATCTAGCAATAAAAACAAGGTGTCAAATAATTTATGTTTGACAATAGAAACAGATCCAATCGCAATTGAAAAGATTGTTATTGTGATTGGTACTTTTAATGTTATTAACAGAACAAAGCTTTATGTTTTTCCTGTTTTTTATTATTTTGCTTACATAATGTTTAGCAGATACATTCTCCTTTCATTCCAATCAGTTAACCATTCTCTTCAAATATGCCAAAGCATGAAATAATAAAGATAATTTCTAAATGCTATCAGGTAACTTGGGTTTAGTTGCCCAAGTTACCTGATAGCATTTAGAATAATTGTTTCCTGCATGGTTACTCACTTTAAAGCATTCCCAGCTTTGACACCCATCAAAAGACTGTTCAGAAATAAAGCAATCTCAAGGGTGACCAGGGTGAGACCAGCAGTAATAAATGATAATACCAAAACAAATATTAGATGAACCTTAGAACAATTAATGCATAGAGGGAAAGAAGAACAAAGGAAAAACAAAGGTAAGATATATTAGAAGAAATAACATTAGAAGAAGTAAATATATAAATCTTAAGAAACAAAATTGATTTTGACCACATGCATTATACTGATGAGATTTTCCCACAGTGGATGTAGAAAGTTGATACATCTGTAGAAGATTTAAACATGTCCTTCATGCTAACTTTTTCCATGGATGTAGAATCATCATCTTAACTGCTGTCCAGTTAAACCTAAGTTCTTCATACTTCAGTAGATTTCAAATGTTTGGAATATAATTCAAATTTACCTTGTTATCATAGACCCTTATTTCTTATGCAAGCACCTTGTTTATCAGGCCGCGAGTATGAAAGCAATATGACATCAACACAGAGCAGATCCTATCGTCCTTCTGAAGTATTAACTTCCAACATGCAGAAACCCAGCCCTTGCTATCTTCATGGTAAGGTATTCTATATACAAAATATGTTATCAAAATAATCTTAAGGTAATGTCCCTAATTTAAAAAAATTTAAAACCCTAACCCTATCCTGTTAAAGCACAATATTCCAAACTATCCACATCTTTCTCATGTTTATCTTCAGACTATTTGTTAAATGGGAATGTACATTAACTTTAAGATTTCTTTATACACATTAAAAAGTAAGAGACAGATTTTCATCTGCATTTAGTGCAACTTTGTTTCCCACTTTGGCTATGTGCAACCTGGTTTCACACTTTGGCAGCGCCTTCAAATTAAAATATGGCCGGAAACTCTAATAAAATTAAAATAATAAATATTAATATTCCCAATGTTAATAAAAATATTAAGAGAATATTACAGCAAAGATATACATAGTGTAATCATAAAGTACGAAACATTATTAAATTAGAGGAAAGCTTAAAATATGAATATATTATACAAAGGTGTATGCAAAATTAATTAATCAGGCAAAATTCATATAAAAATAGAACTTTTCATGCATGCTTTTTAAAAATTTCTTAAACTGAGATAGTGATTAACTAGTTCAAAATAAGAAAAATAGTAAATGAAATAGATGAGTTTCAATGACTACAAAGTTAAGGTAGCTGAGACCCCCTTATCTGAAATATACCATTCTTCTCATTATTTTCTTGAAGTAAGTTGTTCACCATCCTTTCCCTGCATCTTGTGTTTCATATGTTTCTTTGGAGAGAAGGGTTTACTTTTCAAAAGTTCTTCCTTCTTAAGCTCCCAAGCTTCATCCTTCTCATCCAGTTGGATTCCCTTTGATTTTGCCTTCTGGCAATATGCCCTGTGTTCTATTTCAGCTCTAGATTAAAAGGAAAGAGGAAAATGTTTTGGATAAGCTGCTACCAATGGCTGATCACGACTTGAAAGGGACTCTTTCCATTTGGAAGGCTGGAGGATTTTGCATCCGTCTTTACCATAACCCGCTCTTGACGGCAGTTCTAAAATTAATTAAAAGCAAAAGAGCTTTGGCTTTGCTTTTTCAAACCCTACAGGACACTAATGCAACAAAATATGGGAAAATTCCTTAAATACATATGGGTGCTTTAGCATTAGTTCAGTTCAGCTCCACAGAGAAATATCAGGTTAACACCAATGAAGGCAACTTCACTGAATGTTTATTTAGGCAAAAAAAAAAAAGCAGAGGGCAAGTCACTCATAAAGATTTGTTAGTACAATTACTATCCTCAATCCAAATGGGTTATATATTACTTCCTTGAACAGAGTTCCGGATTTTAAAGTCTTGCAGAGTTCCTCCTAGAATGTGGAGAGGATGCATCAGAAGGGAAGGTGACAAACATGAGGAAGGGTTTTTTGGGGGGTGGGGAAGGGAATGGCAAAAAAGGGGTACAGGTACTTCTCTACTTACAATAGTTCATTTAGTGACTGTTCTAATTTACAACGGCACTGAGAAAAGTGACTTATGAGCGTTTTTCACACCACCATTGCAGAATCCCCATGGTCACGTGATCAAAATTGAGACTCTTGGCAACTGACTATTTGTGACGATTGCAGTGTTCTGGCTTCATGTGATCACCTTTTCCAAGTCGAGGACTACCTGTATTGATGGAAAGAGCAGGTCCCGAAGACCTGCTACTACAGAGGAAAAGCAACTGATTGTTCGCTTTCCCAACATGTACTGGGGAAAAAGAAGCAGGGAAATTCACCAGTTGGAGATTTGATAAGTGCAATCCATGTAAACTAGCGTAGCATTAATTTGGTGAAAATAGAGGAAAAGGTAGAAACTTTAGAAAGGCTGAGAGTTAAATAAAGGCTGCTGTGCAGAAAGTTCTTGGGCTTTAAAGCCGAAAACACTCTGAGTTGATTTAAGAACATTCTCAGCAACCCTGCTCATTGTCCCTTCATCCGATAATGCAAAATAATAGGAGAGGTGCAGCTCTTATGCCACTGCTCTGGAATACTGCTCCTACAATAGAGTTGGCTGGCTGCTCCTTTAATGTCATTTAGAAAGGCTTTAATTTTCAAAGAGCTTTCATATGCGATTTGACTGGTGTTTTTTTTTAAAGCAGATTTTTATATTGACTGATTTGAATACCATCAATTTGAATTGTTTTGATATTTTCATTTTCCCTCTAACTTTGGACTGAGGTGAGCTCCTCTACTCCCAATGCACAAGGAAAGTTACAAGGTCACCTGCCTTAATTCTTCTGCCAATACCGTGCTTACATTTCTAAGAATTTGACGCAGGCTTTGTGCCCATAGATTTCTGCAATTCTTCTTGGAACATCTCCATAGAGATCTGGGGCATCCATCGGTGCGTGCAAGGAGTGCAGTGTCCTCAATGCGCCCAGTCGCCCTGATTCTGCAGCAAAATGAACTGGAGTCCAACCTGCCTCCGTTCGCAAAACCAGACGAGCACCATGTGCCACAAGCAGCTTTACCATCTTTGAGTGGCCTGTTGAAAATGCAAACAGGACATTAGAGCAACAAGGACAGCTATCTCAAAAACATGATTCTGGGTGGCTAAGAACAATTTTTAAAAAGCAGACAAAACCAAAAATCCATTCCCAGCACCCCAAGGACGCTTCCATTGAGGACTTGGGAGATGGGTAGGGAAGGGGACATGCTTGGAGCAGAGGATTCCCCCATCCAGCCACTTCTTCTATGTAGGTTCTGCTGCTGGCCACGTCCTCTTATCCCCAAATATAGTATTACAGTCTCTGCATTTCTCGCTGCTTGGTGAAGTACTTGTAAGACATAGAATAGCACCTGAGAGCCACCATTTTAATCCCAGGGAAAACTCATGAAATATCACAGGTGAAATGGGAGTGAAAAGGAAGATACAGTGAGAGAAAAATTATTTGATCCCCTGCTGGTTTTGTACGTTTGTCCACTGACAAAAAAAATGATCAGTCTATAATTGTAATGGTAGGTTTATTTTAACAGTGAGACAGAATAACAAAAACAAACCAGAAAAATGCATTTCAATAAAGTTATAAATTGATTTATATTTTAATGAGTGAAATAAGTATTTGACCTCTTCACAAAACATGCTTAGTGGCAAAACCCTTGTTGGCAATCACAGAGGTTTCTTGTAGTTGGCCACCAGGTTTGCACACATCTCAGGAGGGATTTTGTCCCATTCCTCTTTGCAGATCCTCTCCAACTCATCTTGAAAGCCACCTTCGGCTCTCTCCACAGATTTTCTATGGGACTACGGTCTGGAGACTGGCTAGGCTACTCCAGGACATTAATGGGCTTCTTCTTGAGCCACTCTTTTGTTGCCTTGGCCGTGTTTTGAGTCACTGTCATGCTGGAATACCCATCCATGACCCATTTTCAATGCCCTGGCTGAGGGAAGGAGGTTCTCACCCAAGATTTGATGGTACATGGTCCCGTCCATCATCCCTTTGATGCAGTGAAGTTGTCCTGTCCCCTTTGCAGAAAAACACCCCCAAGGCATGTTTCCACCTCCATGTTTGACAGGGGATGGTGTTCTTGGGGTCATAGGCAGCATTCTTTCAAATACGGCGAGTTGAGTTGATGCCAAAGAGTTTATTTTGGTCTCATCTGACCACAAAACTTTCACCCAGTTCTCCTCTGAATCATTCAGATGTTCATTGGCAAACATCTGCCTGTACATGTGCTTTCTTGAGCAGGGGGACCTTGCAGGCGCTGCAGGATTTCAGTCCTTCACAGAGTAATGTGTTACCAATTGTTTTCTTGGTGACTATGGTCCCAGCTACCTTGAGATCATTGACAAGGTCCTCCCATGTAGTTCTGGGCTGATTCCTCACTATTCTCATGATCATTGAAACTCCATGAGATGAGATCTTGCATGGAGTCCCAAACTGAGGGAGATCGACAGTTATTTTGTGTTTCTTCCATTTACGAATAATCGCACCAACTGTTGTCACCTTCTCACCAAGCTACTTGGCGATAGTCTTTAGCCCATTCCAGCCTTATGTTGGTCAACAATCTTGTCCTTGACAGCCTTGGACAGCTCTTTGGTCTTGGCCATGGTGGAGAGTTTGGAATCATATTGATTGGTTGGTTCTGTGGACAGGTGTCTTTTATACAGGTAAAAGCTGAGATTAAGAGCACTCCCTTTAAGAGAGTGCTCATAATCTCAGCTCATTACCTGTATAAAAGACACCTGGGAGCCAGAAAACGTGCTGATTGATAGAGGATCAAATGCTTATTTCACTCATTAAAATGCAAATCAATTTATAACTTTTTAAAAATGCATTTTCTTGGATTTTTTGTTGTTATTCTATCTCTTACTGTTACAATAAACCTACCATTAAAATTATAGACCGATCATTTCTTTGTCAGTGGGCAAAGGTACAAAATCAGAAGGGAATCAAATAATTTTTTCCCTCACTGTAGCTCCGGGGTTCCTGCTCTCATTCTTTTGCCTCATGCCACGTTGAAATCATCGCTGCTGTCAAACCGTTGCTTTACTGGTGCAGAGTAAAGGAAGGATCACCTGGTGACCCCTTTTCTACTTTTATCCCACCAGGTACTTAAACTGGGATAAGGAAAGGCCACGCTAATAACCCTCCGTGCTAATTAGCCGCAGCACTGATTCCCCAAACAGCAGCGGATCCACCCGGGCAGCGTCCGTCCGCCTATCTCCCCTCTCCCTTTTTTGTGCTTCTAGTTCTGCCCAATGGCAGTGCAGAATCCCCTTTCCATTTATAGGCAGCGTTCTTGGCTTTTGCGCCTCAGCCTCTCGTAACTTTGACTCCCGTTTTGATTTCTGTTACACCAGGAAATATGATTTTGCTAACCGATCAGTTTGCGCGCTTGCTCTGATCAGGACGTGGCGAATGGCTGGGAATACGGCGGCTGCAAACTGAACTGGAAATTACCCGCTCCGACTTGCTCCGTACACTCGCGTTACTTTCGGGCCCCGCGTTTTTCCTTCAGTTTCCTTCTGGCGCAGGCGCGTCCCCCAACATGATGGCTCACCGTTTGCTGCCGCCCAGTGGAGAGGCGTTCTGTCGCTCCAGTCCGCGTCTTGGCAATTTGGGTCGGCGAGCCCGGTCGAGAGGATGGCTTCCGCTAAATCGTACTTACCCAAAGCTGCCGCTTCGTGCAGCTCCGTCATGCTGCCTTTCGCCGACCTCCTCAACCCAGCAAAACCTCTAAGAAGCCGGTTTTTGTCCCTAAGGGATGCGGCGAAGAAAGAATTCCGGACCCGTTTCTGCCGGTACCGCCATCCACTCCACGGGCTGCTAATGGCAACATAAAAAAGATATAAAACCATTCCCTTCGGTGATTAGGACCGAGCCCTCTCCCGGGCGATACGAGAGGCCTCCCGTCTGTTGTTACTTGTTTCCTATAGAAACTGGCTCCTCCTGTAGGGAAGCCTTCGAGTTGCCCTCGGGAGCCCTCCGTTCACGGCGGCCTGCCGGAGAGCGAGAGAATGAGCAGGGAAATCCTCCGACAGTAGGAATAGTTTGAAGTGATGTAATATTTTTTTTTCCTGGTCGCCAAGCTTTGCTTGAACGGGAGGAAACCCTGCTTGAAGGGCACTGAATCGCAGTGAAGGAGCAAAGCTGCCCTCCAAGCAGTGAGATGGTCTCTGCTGGAAAAAGCGGGGGTCGCTTGCAGAAACCGGGGAAAGTTTCGGCACTTGCTGCTCCGGGCACGGGCTCTGCCTCCCCAAACAGCAGCGGATCCACCCGGGCAGCGTCCGTCCGCCTATCTCCCCTCTCCCTTTTTTGTGCTTCTAGCTCTGCCCAATGGCAGTGCAGAATCCCCTTTCCATTTATAGTAATGGATAGGCAGGATAACCTCCTTTCTGCCACTAAATACTGGGCATCCTAAGCAGGTTCCTTAGTTGCTTCTTTACACTTAAATGTTTTCTAATTCACCGTCTGTACCTTTCTTAACACAAGACAAACATTTTAGTTTTGAAGGGATAGAGTTGCACTGCAAGAGAGGATCCACAAAGACTATGCCATCCAGTAAAACCAACTTCCATAAAATTCAGAAAAAAATACCAGATAGATTGGTTACTTTTTCCTCTCAAATGAAGCACTGAGTCGTGAAAATGAAATACGTACAGGGCCCCCTTTTGGTGCTCCAGGCAAAATCACATTCAGCTCTTTTCCCAGCCATGTTCCCGTATTGTTAGGAACTTCAAAAAGGCACCCTCTTTCTTTCTTTTTCTTCCAGTGTTTGACCTTTACGCTTACAATTTTCAGCCCTGGACAATTTTTTTCTTGGACATTTTCTCCCTGTCTACACAGCTCATTAAGTGATTTTAATCTCTTCAGCAGTCATTGTCATATAGCAACAATTCTGCAAAATCCATATGCTACTAAAACTCCTGTTTTTTCAACTTTCAAGAGAGTGAAATAGTGCATCATAGGGCAAGGCATTTTCAGCTTAGGTACCTCAAATGAGCTAACTTACATAATGTGTCCAAAATCTGGGACTTCTGACTCCTGTGGAACTGAAATTTAGCAAGTTTTATAAAACATTTTATTACATAAAAATCTTCATAAAACGACTTATGATATAACATTAAATATCATAAAATGTTTCCTGTGCTGATGTTTGCCTGTGCTGTACAGTTCCACGTGGGCTATTTTCAAGGCAGATATATCTCTGAATGTGTCCCAACTTTTCCAGTAAAGATAATATATTAGAAGTTCTGTCACAATTGAAAGCAGTGGGGAATCTGGTAAGGAAATACCTCTGAAAGGAAGACCAAATGGGTCATGGGTTGTCTACTAATATTTAATCCTTGTGGTGGTTCATGAAGGACATTGTTATTGCTTCATTTTTTATTGTGTTTTTCAGAAATGTTTTCTGCTTGGGCATGTTCTAAAATTTAGCATTTCTAGAGTGATGCCTGCTCTGCTTTAACCTAGAGCCAGTCTTGTGCACATATTTATATCTTCCTTTCTGTAGGTCATATAGATATATAGGTGTTATTTGCACTGAACTGAAATTGTGCAGAACTGAAACTTTCCTTAGATTATCATGGTTTTAACATTGCTGGGACATTTGTCTATCTACACAATTTGCCGTAAAATTATATAAATATCTATGATGGACTATCTCAGTGAGGTGGATCCCCAGAAGGGACAGGGTGCATTCCAGAGGAATAAGAGGTGATCAAACACAGTTATGTATGGGAGAAAAGAGGGTGAAGACAGGCTCTCTCTAATAGTTCACAGAGTATATTGTACAAGCAGATTGTAGGATCCCCAGTCTGCCAATAGTCCATAGATGTGAAACAATAAAGAACTCTGAAGAATTGTCACTGTCAGGTCCCCAAATCATTATTGTTTCCCCTGCATATGTGCTCTTGTTTGGGACCTGCCATTCTGCTGGGTGGGGAGAGTTTGCTTTCATTTGGGATAACTTTCACTTTTCTTCTCCCACATCTATCCATTTGAGAAAAGACTGTGTCTCCCTTATCAGGGAGACAACTATGGAGAAATGAAACTGGAGAAGACCTTGAGATGCCAGTTACCCAAACATCATACCACCTGTGGATTGGCTGGATTTCAAATGGACACTGACTTTGGTGGGAGGAAGATTGCTAGTTTAACTATACCGTTTAAGTGGGCTTTCCCCAAGATCTCGCCTTGACTTCCCTACTGTCACTAACGCCTAATAAAAGTTCCTTTTGAAACAATGCCTGTTTCAAGAGTTCTGCTTTCTTGGGTGGTTAGCTGAGGTAGGTCCTTACAGTCACATTATTCTTGGTTTTGGACATGACAATATCCAGGCTTACATAACATAACATTTACCAGTAGGAAGACTGTTTTTCCTAAATGATGACCTGCAAATGGGATAGTCTCATTTACCTCTATCTATATACTACTAAAACTCTCATTGTCATGCTTTTTAACTGGGTAAAACAGGCCATCATATTTTTTGAACTAAGGCACTTCAAGTAGCTAATTTACAGAGTGTGTCCAAATCTGGGACCCATGACACCCATGATTAAATTAGGGAACGTTGTGGCTGCTTAGTTCTACTGGTTGCTGCTGTGCTGGTGGGTTGATGCTGCAATCGTGTGATTTTCGTTTTCAATATTTCATGACAGTTTTCCAGACAGTCTCCCAATTCTCTGCTTCTTCCCCTACCCAGCAGCCTCCACTAACCTTCCTGCTGGAAGGGAAGGGAAGGGAAGGGAAGAGAGGAAGGAAGGAAGGAAGGAAGGAAGGAAGGAAGGAAGGAAAGGAAGGAAGGAAGGAAGGAAGGAAGGAAGGAAGGAAGGAAGGAAGGAAGATTGATTTCTGATGCTCCCTGCCCGCTTCCCACGAGGAGACTCAATGGGGAAGCTGGCAGAAAGTCAGAAGTTGCTTCCACTCCCATTGCTTTTTTGCTCAACCATAGTCATTCTGTTTCTCTGTTTAGGTAAGGAAATATCTCTGAAATTATTACCCAATGGGGCATGGGTTGCCTAGTCCATGAGAAAAATAGAAGTTGTAGAAGCCAAAGGAATGAAGAAAATGAAGATTGAAAATTAACCTAAAAATGACTAGTGCTTAAGAATGGTTGTTTGCCTGCTTAATGTACAGGTAGTCTTTGACTTAAAAACACAATTGAGCTCAAAAATTCTGTTGCTATGTGAGACAGTTTTTAAGTGAGTTTTGCCCCATTTTATGACTTTTCTTGCCATAATTGTTAAATGAATCTGGCTTTCCCATTGCTTGTAAGAAGGTTGCAAAAGACGATCAGATGACCCTGGGGCTTCAACCATCAGAAATATGAACCAGTTTCCAAGCAACTGCCCAGTTGCCTTGGGGATGCTGCAATGTTCATAAGTGAAAAACGGTTATAAATCATAAATCACTTTTTTCACTGCTGTTATAATTTTGAACTGTCACTAAACAAATTGTTGTAAGTCAAGGACTACCTGTAGCCTTTTTATAAGATCCAGAGAGGGCTTTTCTCTTTTCTTCCTTTTTCTGTTTGTTACTTTTTTTCTTCATCTCCATTCAGTTTTGTTTCCCTCCTTTTCTTTTAAAAAAGCAGTTTCTCTTTCCTCTTAGTAGCTTTTCCTTCTCTTTTTGTTGGAGGGATGGAAAGGAAATGCCTGTGTCTGTGTGAGTGAGAATGGTTGGTATATGGAGATGGGAATCAATGAATTCTGGGATACTTTATTTATAGGCAATTAATCCCCCAACTTGACTTTTCAAGGCTTCCAGGGGTGCACCCGTTGTCACTGTAACTGAGTCCATCCGCTCCCTGCTGATCATCCTCTTCTTCCATTTCATCTTTCCCAACATTAGAGTCTTCTCAAATGAGCTAGGTCAGGGGTAGGCAACCTTGGCTCTTTTATGACTCGTGGACTTCAACTCCCAGAATTCCTGAGCCAGCCATGCTGGCTCAGGAATTCTGGGAGTTGAAATCCACAAGTCATAAAAAAAGCCAGGGTTGCCTACCCCTGAGCTAGGTCCACACGTATTGTGTTCAAAATTTGAGCCTAGTCATTTGCAGGTAGTAAGTTAAAATCAGTAAACATTTCTATTTTATTTTTTGGGGAAGGGTTCTTCTGGCATATATATACATACATGCAGTACATACATACATACATACATACATATGTGTGTGTATATATGTATATGTATATACACTCACATAACTGTAACATACACACAATTGAGGGGCTGAGGATTTTGAGATTGGTTTTAGCTGACGTTGGCCTCTCTTGGTTGATAAGACAGAAAGGCTAGCTATGCACAGGATTTTGGACTGTATTGATAATTAAGATACTAAATTATCTGTAGCTCAGAGTTGAGTCCTGGGTGCTCTCCCAGTTTGCTTGCTTGCTTGTCTGCAGATATTTCTTTACCAGACTAGATAATATATTCAGTATGTTGGTAATTCTTTTCTCTATTCTAGCTTTATGGAAGAGGGGAGGCCAGTTTAAATTACTTTTAAAGGTCACTTTGGGGTAAATACTATACATTCCAGCCTCATAGCTAAGCTAGTGTGAAGACCAATGAAAGCACAAACATTTTTTTTATAAAACTGAGCATGTGGCTTTAATGATCCTAAATCCATTGTCAGAAATACTCAGTGCTGTATCTCCTCATTGCTAACACCATCACCCATTCATTGGTCTTCATGTGGTTACTGCTATGGCTGTCATTGCTCTAATTCTTGCACAGGACATTAAACTAAGAGAAAAAGTGGGAATAAAAAACACCAGAAGATTATACTGGTCACATTGCTTTCCAAGGGGAAGGAAGAAATCCTGTGCAGTAGGGTCACGGATTGCACAATAGTTGTTAATGGTTACATTAGA